AAGAAGTGTGAGACTTCCCAGGTGGGGTCACAGTGGTGGTGTGGCCAGCATTGGCATGGCTGGGGCCACCCCGAGTTACCTTTTTTATTCCCCCCGCAAATGGCCAGAGCTTTCGGGGGTCGGAGCTGAGACCATATCTGAGCCTTTGTGAACGGGTTAAACTGGATTTCTGCATGTCTGATTCAGGGGACGATGAGAGACAACTAGACAACATGCTCATAGTTTGAGTGCCTCCACTCAAATGAGCTGGGTTGAGGGCTCTCTCTAAAATGTGGATTCTGGTTACCAAAGTTCCAAGTTCTACGTGCTCCACCACTAAGGAAATGAGGTCATATTCTGGGTCACTTGATCTTGGGCTACTCTCAAATAAAACCTCCCCAAAGGTCCCTCTGGGCTGCTGAATGCTCACTTCTCCCCATGCCATCTCCATTACATGATGGCACCAACACAGGCCTCCACAGAACCTGAGAGAGGCCTTTGTGCAGCCAGGGCCCCAGCTCTGAGCAGACAGAGTAGGCTCCAGACACACCTCCTCCCTCTTAAGCAGTAAGGGACCCTGGGCAAATTTTGTGCTTCTGAGAGCCTCCCCACCTCACACAATGGGGATCATTCCATCATCTACTTCTTAGGCAGGTCAGCAGCTCTATTTGAGATAACGCCTGTAATCCTTATGGGGTGGGGTCACAGGCAGCTAACGAACAAACTCAGAGAAGGAAGAATTTCAAGCAGGATTGGGAGGCAGCATGCAGTACACCTCCAAACAGGGCTGGGTTCTGGTGCTGTGATCTTGGGAAAGTCACTTCCCCTCTTGGCCTCATTTCTCAGTCTGCACTGTGAGGGGGTAGGAATTAAAAGAAAAACAGACATCGCCACCCTCAGGCCAAACATCCTCCAATAACTTCCATTATATTTAGAATCTGACCCAGTATCTCATCTGGGACTAAGGGGTAGGCAGACTGCACAATAGCTCCCAAGGATCCTGCCTTCTAGTTTCCACATTCTGTATGACCCCCTACCCTGAGAGTGGACTAGAACCAGGGAATTGTTTCTAAAGAATGTTGTTGATGTTGTTAAGTGGCATAAACTGGATTTCTACCCACAGCGATCCCGTTTCACAAGGTCACTTGAGTGTCTTTTGTTCGCTCTGTCATCTTTCTCTCCACCCCCCATGCCCTGCAGGAGGCAACTGTGAAGTATGAAGTGCCCTGTGCAGAGGCCTATGTGACCTCAGGAAGGGCCCTCCCTGATTGACAGGCAGAGCGAAACAGAAGCCCCTGTCCAAAACCTCAGAAGACAGATTCCTGTACAGAACAAGAGTGAGCAGGGAGGTGATCCTCCCTGATCAAGCCTCAGGTCAGACCACAGTTCCAGTCTCCTGAGAGACCCGCTGAGCCATGCCTGGATTCCTGGTCCAGAGAGACTCTGAGATCACCAACGTATCCAACTGTGCGCTGTTACTTTTGGGGTGATGTTGTCACAGAGCTGGAGGTAACTCTAGCCCTCCAGGCCCTGAGGCCTGGGCCTGCTCTCCTTCTTTCCTCTGTCCTCTCCTCTTTCTCTCTCGCTCCCTTCCTTCTCTCCTCCCAGCTTGCTCTAGCTACACTAGTTGATTTCTGGCCCTCTAGACAAACTCACATCTGCCTCCGAGTCTTTATACCTGTGCCTTCTCCCTGGTACAATGCCTACAGACTCATGTAGGGCTGGTCCCTCTTGTCATTTTGGTCACACTTTTGACCTTGGTGAGGCTTCTTGGACCCCACCCAGTGGCCCCATTCCTCCTTCACAGTAGCCTGCTTTATGGTTGTTATAATAGTTTCTTTCCTTTCACAGATAGTCCCCATGTTATCAACACGTGACTTACAATTTTTACTTGCCCTCCAAAGTTATTGAAATTGGCCGTCACTTTCAAGTGACTGAACCAATCCCTACTCATAATAACTTCATCAAAATCACTGTTCTTCAAAACATTTAAATCACTGAAGTTTTCCAGCCTTTCCTTGCACTAAGAAATCCCCAAACCCTTTGCCAACAAGTTGATTCTGATTCATAGCAACCCTATGGGACGGAGCAGAACTGCCTCGTAGTTTCCAAAGCTTTAAATCTTTACAGAAGCAGACTACTTCATCTTTCTTTAACGGAGCAGCTAAATGCCTTAACTACTGTCACCAGTGCTCCTTTCTGCCATTTAAGTAAAGCTAAAGAACAACTATATGAACCTGGTCCAACTCATCTACAGTTTGACTTAAAACGTTAGAACGGATCTCACTCTTAATCTGGGCTCTGCCTGTATTGGTTTTCATTATTTTGTCCATCTTTGTCTGTCTCCTCTCCTGACATGGTGCTGGCAGCATGTGGGCTGTTTCTACCTCCCAGCCAGACATAACAGTGTTGGCACAGAATGAGAGCTCAGGACCAAGTTCCTGAATGTATGCAAACATCTCAGATCCTGTTCACACCTCTGGCCAGCTGACATTATAAACATGGATGATAATATTAGAAAATGAACCTGTCAAAGGGGAAATGGCCAAAATGACCTCCAGGTGACTCCCTGAGTCCTGCTGTGCCAGTGAAACACAAGTGCTGGCGTAAGTTGCTACCCACTGGTGGTCAGTGCTAGCACTGCAGACCAGGCAAGAAAACTAAAAAAACACCACACACACTTGTGTTCAGATGTCCTGAGACAGCAAGCAGCTCTCTTGGGTCCCAAGGGGCTTAGGAGCAGGACCTGCAGGTCTACAATGTGGGGGACCAAAGGAGACTGCCTTGTCCTGTCTTGGCCTCCACTGACCCCGAGGTGTCCATATCACTTACAAGGCATCCATTCCACAGAGAGACTACGTATGGCCCAATTTCCTCAGAAAGACTGAGGCTGCAGCAGCTCCTGACTCTTGGACTTGGACTTGTGCTCCACACTGCCATGCAGCATCCTTTGCCAAGCTCCCAGTCCCCAAGCTTACAGTGAGTCTGAAGTACCTTCAAGCAGTAAGAAGCATTTCTAACAATCTCCAAGCACAGTGGGCCATCCATGATAATCAAGGCCAGGAGGCCCTTCTGTGAACCTGTAGAACCCTCCAGATTCATCTGCTCTCAATACCTCAATTTACAGAGAAGGAAACAGGCCTTCTCTCTGGCAGCCTTGATGTCATTAAATACTTAGTACAGGCACAAAACTGAGGCCATGTTAAGTAATCCATTGCACCACAGGGCTGCAGGAGAGGTTTTCCTTCTCTGTAAATCTACTGAAAGTAAAATATTCCCACCAAAATTGGGTGGGACTATGCAAATAAGGTACTTGTGGCCCACCAAAGGGATTGGATAGTTTTCTAATAATAAGTACATGTGTGGTTGGGAAGATGCAAATAATGTATATTGGATCCCTATGTGGGGATCAGTCAGTTTTGCCTCCCTGCTATGCTTAAAAGAATGCCAATTCCAAAGCAGAGAAGGGATCTTAATAAGAACAAAGAAAGCTGGGCATGGAGAGCTATGTGTCAAGCAGTGGCAGAGAAGGTAGCACAACCAGGAAACTAGCAGATGCCATGGTGGCCTTTCTGTCCCAAGGAGGAAGAAAGCTGAGCACCCTTGGGCAGACTTGCTGGTAGAGTGGGGTGCCTCTGGACACTTACTGGCAGAGGGAAGAGAGTTTTTTAACAATTGCTGAGCAGGGCAGAGGCCTGGCCTAGGGGTCTGGGGACAGAGAAACCTGCCTGTGAGAACAGTTGAGAAGAAGGTATACTGACTGAACGTATAACCTGAGCACTCCTGAATCTGAACTGTATCCTGTTATTTTCCCCTAACTGTAAGGATGGTCTGTGTATTCCGCATGCCCACTGCAAAGAATCATCAAACACCCCTGACAAGCAGAGTGCTGAGGGGATGACTGGTGTTGGAACTGGTTAAAAAAGGTTGGCAAGAGGAGGTATGTCTGTGTCCCTCAGAGAAATCAGCCTTGGGCTGAAGTCAATGGTGATTCTTCTCTCACCTTGAGAACTTAAGAGATCAGAGGCCTCTGCAACTCCACTTTTACAAGCCTCCCCTACTCTGGGTTTTGTTGTATTTCCAGGGGATCAGTGGTAACTGCAGGACTCAGGCCATCCTGCCAAGGTGGCCCTTGCCTGTGGTTTGCAGGACTTCTCAGCATCAAGTGGCCTATCATCCTGGCATCTCTCCTATTTAATGTCATGGGCCATTGGGCATGTGGCTAGGACACTGTAGCAGTGCAGAGCCACAAGTGCTGAAAGGAATGCAAGGGCAGGGCTGCTTTTTATTTGAAAGGGTGGGGTTGCTGCCATGAGGCTGTATAGAACAAGGTGGGCACCCACGTTTCAAAGACTGGGGTGTTGTCACCTTGGCTCCTAATGAGGGGCTGCTGTTTGATAGGCCAGGAAAATTTGGCTCACCCACTGACAAATGGCACAAGTAAAGCAAACCCTTGCTGACCACATATTGCGGAAACAGTGGAACCCAATGCTCCAAGTCAAATGACCTGAATGCCAGTTTTATTTTTGTTCCAGCCATGAGCTCTGTAGCGGCTCACCCTGCAGATCACATCACGAAACATCCCTGAACCAGTCAGCCAGAAAGTAGTCAAACCTAAGGTGATTTGAAGAATAAACACAGTGAAGAACCTTCATGACATACAAACGTGCAATTTCCAGGTGGACATGACAACTTCTCTGGCCTCTTAGGGAAGGAATGCTCAGTCCAGGAACAGGCGTCATTCACCAAGCATGCCAATGCCCAGCTGTTCAGCAAGTAGGCTTCCCAACTCTTAACTCAGCACACCATCTTGTGTCTTGTCTTGTATCTTGATCTGTTTGCAGAGAAAATGAGGCCCAGGGTCTGAAGTAGAGCCCAGAAGGACAAATTCTTTGAAACCACAGAAGCATCTTAGATGCCTAGAACCACGGAATGCTGCAGAACTCGGGTGGGGAAGGGAATCCCTAGCTTAGGAACAGGCCTGGCTGCTGTCTGTATTTGGGAGGTGAAGAGTGGCCCTATCAGGAACGACACAACTCCATCCTGGTTTGTGTTTCTGGGGAGGGAGGGTCCATGGGTCCTGGGCCCTCGGCTGCCTTAAGGCCCTGCAGTCGATATAGGGTCTCAACCTGCCTCCTCTTTTCCTTGGCCCGGTTAATGACTGTCCGGAAGAGCCTACAGAAGAGGTGGACGGATGAAGGTGAGTCATCATTGCCAGGGATGGGGTATGTGATAAGGCACGGGTTGCAGTTGGTGTCTACGATGCCCACAGTGGGGATATTCATCTTGGCTGCATCTCTCACAGCAACATGGGGCTCAAAAATGTTGTTGAGTGTATAAAGGAAGATGATGAGGTCTGGCAGGCGGACACTGGGGCCAAAGAGCAAGGGGGCATTGGTGAGCAGGCCGCCCTTGAAGTAGCGAGTATGAGCGTACTCGCCACAGTCACGGGCTGTGTTCTCAATCAGGTGTGTGAACTGCCGGTTTCGGCTCACAAACAAGATGATTCCTTTGCGATAGGCTATGTGGGCTGTGAAGTTCAAGGCCATATGGAGGTGGGCCACCGTCTGCTCCAGGTCAATGATGTCCTGGCCCAGGCGGTTCCCAAAGATGTAAGGCTCCATGAACCTGTTAAGAAGACCCAAGCAGGGTGAGCATGAGTGGGGCTCCTGAGGCCAGCTCTGCCACTCCTGCCCCGTCACAGACCTGGAAGGCAGCCCCCAGGGCTCCTCTTTGGGGGTATGCTGGATCGGGAGCCTCATGTTCTCCAGGGCACACCATCCCCATGATCACAGACAGTAGTGACCACCCTGTCCAATGAGTGACTGTGGGGCAGGCCGGAGTTGCAGGACCCCTTCTGAACCTCTTCTTCTTTCTCAGAGCATGAGGATTCTACCAAAGCAACACACAGGACTGCTGGCGGTTGAAATCTGGTGGCAAAAAGTATCCTGCCCATGCTGTTCACACAGCAGCTACTTTGTCATTATCACAGTCTCCAAGGCTATTATAAACAGTCCCTCTGAGACTGACGGACCAGCAGAGCATGGAGGGGCTGGAGACCTCAAGGGCACAGAACTGCTGGCTGCCCTGGGCAGACGGACAGCAGGGGATTAAGACTGTACCACCTCTTAGCATGTAGCAAGTGAGCCAACTACACTGGATCCCCCTGTCTCCTAGGTCCAGTCTTCAGCCCACTCCTGCCTGAACTTTTGTCTCTTCTCAACAGACAGGCTCATCCAACACTCCAAGGCCCCTTTCTTACCAGGTTCCTGGGTCCTTCCCTGCCTGTGGCTTACAGGACTTCTCAGCAGCATCAAGTGGTTCCCATGTCTTCCTCTCACTCGCTCCTGTTCCTTGTCCCTTCTCACTTGCTGACTTTGTCATATTCTCACAGCTGGCCCTCCTTTTCCCTGAACTATAAACACTGGAGGGTCGAGGGCTCACTCCTGGGTCCTCCTTTCCACTCTACCTGCCCTCTCTAGATGACCTCAAATACCTCAATGCTAGGCCAAGTGATTCCACTCCCAAGGCTCCTCCAGGCTGGGGCCTGTGCCTTCACAGGCTTTCCTGATGCCTCCACTGGGACACCACATAGGGTCAGTCTCAGGATGAAGCCCATGACTTCCCACTAGGTCTCCCTCAGTTCTTGTCCTCTCAGTAAAGAACACTGACAACCACACAGTGCGAAAGCCAAAGGTCAAGGTTAAGGAGCCTTTGATCCCTTCAGTGCCTCTGGCCTTAACTCCCTCCTACCTGCTTCCCCAGCTATTCTACCACTGTGAACTAAGCCCTCATCACCTTTGCCCTGGATGTCTACAATCTGCTTCCCTCTTCAGATTCCTAGCTGGCTTTCCACTTCACACAGCGGTCAGAATGGCAGCATACACATATCTGACAGTTATCACTTCTCCATATGACCCTAGAAAAGTCCCACACAATCCAGCCCAGGACCTCACCAATCCCTCCCGTGTCTGCTCCCAAGACACCAGCCTCCTGGCCCTTCTGGCTCTCCTGCTGGCTCCTTGTTTACCTGCAGGTCTGCCCCACTCCAGGCAGTGAGCATCAAGCCAAGGCACTGTGTGGACAAAAGGAATATAAACAATGCTCACACAATAATCAGTACCTCATCTGGGGCACCATTCCCATTGGAGGGGACATGGAGCAGACAGTGAAGCCTTCAGTCAGTTAAACAAAATGACTCATGACAGCAGAAAACATGTCCTAAATCCCCAGGCAGAAGGGTCCAAGACCTCTTGGGAACCACTGCCAGTAAGCACACCTGAGCTCACTCAGTGAGGGGTTTCACCCTACCTGTGCCGACAGCCAGCTTTGTGTCCCAGGTGCACTCGGGCATCGAAGAGGCTTCTGATGGAAAATAATTCCTTGACATTGAAGAAGTCAGAGTGCTTGAGGGGCTCATTTATAATTTTGTCATTGAAATCTACAGCAGGGTAGAAACATAGATTGTAGTACATACAACTGGCCTACCCAGTTCCAACTGTTGCCCTGCAAAGATGTGGCTGTGTGGGTGAAAGAAGCCCACCAGCTGAAGACATCTGAAGCCAGATCTAGAAGCCATAGATTATTATCACCTAGGCCCTCTGTTACAGGTGAGAGCTTTAGACCTCCTAATTTTAAAACTAGAAACTGAAGCAGAGTGCCTTAATGGCACAGTGGCTAAAGCACTCAGCTGTTAACTGAAAGGTCAGCTGTTCAAACCCACTAGTGCTGCTTCATAGAAAATGTGGCAGTCTGCTTCTGTAAAGACTGACAGGCTTGGAAATCCTAAGGGGCAGTTCTACTCTATCCTATGAGTTGAAATCAACTCAATGGCAGATGAGTAGGGACGAAGGCTGGGTTCTGAGCAAGAATTCACTCCTGGATAAATCTGTCATTCCCCCACCCCCCATTTCTTCACCTGAAAAAGAAGAGAGCCCTAGCTGGTTCTAAGGCTGGCATGAAAGCTCAGGAGCCTAGTGAGAAAGTCCCCAGTTGGAGGTAATGCCCATCAGGAGTCCCACAAAGTACACTCACTCCTTCAGGAGCCTGACTCTCACTAGGCCTACCAGGGGAGGGGATGCTGAGAAGCTCAGGTGTCCTCACTCTCAACTCTGTCTCAGGGGTTCAAGGACACTCCTGGAAGGGCTTGCATTAAACACCATTGTTTTGGGGCACCATCAAGTCAATTCTCACTCAGAGCAACACCATGTGACAGAACAGAACTGCTGCACAGGGTTTTCTTGTCTATAATCTTTATGGGACCAGACTGCCAAGTCTTTCTCTGGTAGAGGTGCTGGGTGGGTCTGAACCACTGACCTTTTAAGTTAGCAGCCAAGAGCTTAACCCCTTGCACCACCCGGGCTCTCTCCCACTCCAGGAAAGAGGTATTGTGTTAACCCTATTCACAGGTGACCAGAGAGAGTTGTAATGAGGCTAAAGAAAGAGCCACAGCCAACATCTCAGGAATGGAATCAGAGTTGGGGCCCAGGCCTAGGTAACTCTAAGGAACTGCTTTAACTGTGTAGCTTGTTACGGGCTGCCAGGGCTCTCTTGGGGTAGGTAGAACAAAGCATGCCAGTCAGGGATGGAAACGACCACCGACTGACCAAGAAGGCGGTTCCTTCTCTCTCCCTTGGTCCAGGGACACATGGGACTTCTGAAGGCTAACTACTAAGACTCCACTGACTTCCCATTGTATGCCCATCACCCCATTTGCTCAGGAGCCCAGTGTTACCACTGAGGTTCTCAGGTTCGCTGACAGTAGAGGCCGAAGAGCTTCGAAACGTCCTGCTACTCAGCCAAGACACCACCGAGGGCGCTTTCTTGAGAAAATCCAGCCAAGGAGACTTGGTCCGGGGACCTGGGGAAGGAAGCAAAGTCCATGCGCTGAGAAGGCGTACCGAGGGCACATGTCATGCAGGCTGTCTGCAGTGTGTACTTGCACAGCTCACCATCCTTCCCCACAGCCAGCTCTCTGGACCGAAAGTCCTGACGCACGCGGGCCGCCCTGTAGGCCCGAAGTTTACGCGTCTGCTGCGGGCGCGGCCCCTCCGAGTACGAGCACAGCGCTGGACCCAGAATCACGGTGGATCAGCCCCGCGCGGGTCGGAGATGCATAGACGTCTGGCACGTCTGCACCCGGCCGGCCCTCTCAGACACTAAAGCCAAAAGACCAAAAGCTGGGCCTAAGAAGGTCGGTCCCCATCGCGACTCCAAGAACCCAAGCCCCAACCCAGAATCCTGCGTCCCGCCCTAAATACCAACCCCTCCCGCTCAGGTCTGGTAGGTGCAGGGCCACGCAAGCTTACCCGCGCCAAGCAGCCGGGGAAGCACGACCCGGGCGTGCGCCATAACTACAGCAGACCCCAGGCTGGCTGACTGAACTTCCGCCGAGTGGCCCCAGAGTTCCGGTGAACTGCTTAGTCTTTCCGCCGCGGCCGAGCGGGCCACCCCGCCCCCTGCAGGCCGGGAGCTGCTACTGCTCGTACGCGTCCTGGCCCATGGCTCTAAACTTGCCCAGAGGTTGCTCCTGGCTTGCCAACCACCGCAGTGCTGGGCCCCAAAATCTCGTTGAGGCCCGACTGGAGGGAAGGAAGCAGGACGCGGGCCAGGCGAGGGGAACAGGCCCAGGGTCGGGGGACGAGGACGCGAGGCAGGCTCAGGGTTTGGGGCGGGCACCGCGGAGAAGGGGACAGGGTGCACGTGGCGGGAGGTAGGGGCTCAGGACTGAATCTGGACCACAGACCTAAGGAGCAGAGTATCCTACCCACCACTACTCGCCCCCTCGTTAGTCCTCTGCTGCAGAAGTGCCAGCCAGGCCCTAGGAGACCCCACGCTGTCATTCTGGGGAACCCTGGGCGATGGGGATCCTCCTCACCTCCCTCCAGATGATTTCTCCCCCAAGGCCAACACAAGTTTGGCTCTCCGAAACTGTTTATTTCTGAACACTGTTAGGCTTAGCAGGACTCCACATGTTAGCCAAATCCTGAGTGAACGGGTATTAGGCGGATGAAGTATGGGAGCTCTGGTGGCGTAGGGCCTAAGACATCCATAGAGATGTTGTTGTTGGGTTGGATCCGACTCATAGAGAGCCCCCTCCTTGGGTTTCCCATGCGGTATCACTACTGAAGTAGACTACCCAACCTTCCTCCCCAGGAGTGGCTGGTGGGTTTGAACCGCCAGCCTTCTGGTTAGCAAGCAAGTGCCTTATGCACTACACTACCAGGATACTACTGCCTTGGAAACCCAAGGAGGGGTCGCTATGAGTCGGATTTGACACAAAGGCATTTTTTTTTCCTAAGGAGTATGAAGTAACAAGGTTAAGAAGCACGCCTGGCGTCAAATCATTACTTGACGCGTTGCCTGGGAAAACTATACCCTCTCTGTTTGCTGAGGGACCCCCAGGACCTGAGTTTCATTTGCCCCCAAATCCAACCCCAAGACCCCCTACCCACTCTTCTTCACTGCGTTTTGGGAAATTCTCCCCTGGGTTGCAGGCGGATCAGCCTTCAGAGGAACAATAGTAACATTCCACACCCCCAGTCCCCGCAGGAACTCATTGACTGTCTTGGAGTCAGATCTCCTCCATAGGGGCCCCTCCTTGCGTTTCCCATGCGGTATCACTATGGAAGTAGATTGCCCAAGCTTCCTCCCCAGGAGTGGTTGGTGGGTTTGAACACACAGTCTCCTGGTTAGCAGTCACATTCCTGAGGCACTACGCCACCAGAGCTCCAGGCCCAAGCTTTATCTCAGGAGCCTAGGCCCTTTGTTCGCAGCGGAAGGTTCTAGACTCGCATTTATCCCAGTTCTCAATGGAGGCACTTGGGACCGTGTGGCGCGGTGCCTTTAAGAACCGGCCCCTCCCTTGTCAGGTGACCAGGCCGTCGCTTAGCAACGGGGTGCCTAGCCTACTGCTGTGGATTCCAGGCGGAGCATGTTTCCTGGCATTTCTTTCTTCTTGCTGCACTGGTAGCTAGAGGCATAATGTCCCAGGAAGACACCCAGGAGTGCACCGAACCCACCGAGCAGAAGGCCAAGGCCCCCCCGGAGAAAACCAGCGACTATTACCGCGTGAGCAAGGACCTGCCGGTCAGGTTCAACAACCCGGCGTGGTTTCGGGGCTACAGGTAAGGAAGGAGATGTGAGCTGAGGCGCTGGAGTCTGCTTTAGTCTACCTGTCTGACTCAGGGAGAGGCCGCCTGGTTCAAGGGGGGCAGCGAAGGGTGGGGGGAGATGCCGCGAGCTGCTCATGTCACCCAGCACTCAGTCTTGAATGAAGTGATCTCCCAGGCCTCCCAGCCTGTTCTGGCCTCTGAAGGCAAAAGCAGCAGCGGTCAGTGGCATGGCTTGTGTGTTATGAACCACCAACAGCTGTGATAAATCCAGAAAGCCAAACCTCCTGCGCTTGAGTCAGTTCTGACTCATAGTGATGCTACAGGACAAAGAACTGCCTCATAGTGTTTCGTAGGTTGTGGTTGTGATCTTTACGGTAGCAGACTGCCACATCTTTCTCCCCCAGAGCAGCTGGTAGGTTCCAGCCACCGACTTTTGGGTTAATAGCAGAGCGCTTTAACCACTGGACCACCATGTCTCCTTAATAGCTGTGAACATGCTGCCTAACACTTAAAAACCTATACATGGGGTCACAAAAGGACAAATATTGTATTAGTCCGTTATTGTAAAAGTTAAGGAAATGTTTATATATTGGAGGACATTTTCTTTGTTGGTTACCAGG